GAGTGGTCTCTGCAGAACAGCTCCAGAGGTCGGGCGTGTTCAGCACAGACCCGCTCCTCCAGGTCGGTCACCGCGGCGATGAGCTGGTGCTTCTGTAGGCGGGGCACTGTGAGGTGGGGCTGCAGGTGGAGGGGGCAGTAGGACGTCTGACACATGAGGCAGGACTTCAGCGCCTGCAGCTTTGGGTCAGGACACATGTCACACAGCACTCCTGACTCTGCTGCCGTCAGCTCTTCACCTCTTGGTTTGTTTTTCAACTCAGACAACATGTCTAACATGAAAGTGTTGGTCTTTAACACTGGTCTGCTGCTGAACTCCTCTTTACAGACGGGGCAGAAGTAGAGCTCAGAGGTGTCCCAGTGTTTATTGATGCAGGTGCAGCAGAAGCTGTGACCACAGGGAGTGGTCACTGGACCACTGAAGACCTCCAGACAAATGGAGCAGAGGAACTGGTCCTGAGACAGCACACAGCTCACACTCGCCATCCTGCAGACACACAGGAAACACATTTATATGTGATGAGTTTAGATCAACGACCACCTTTAATGGAAGCTCAGTGTGTTACAGGAAGGAAACTAGACAGACTTTGAGACTCTTAAGTTTGGCTGAACCTTTTGTCTTTAGCTGTACTTTTAAGGAGAGCTTCTCCTAGATTCTTGGGTTCTCCACCTTCACTGTCCGTGTTACAGTTTGCTGATGGTGAAGCAGGAGCTCTTTATTTACTGCTCTATGTACTTTCCTACTCTCACCTCATCATGAGCTTTGGGTAATGACTGAAAGGACAAGATGGTCAAAATGAGTTTCCTCTGCAGGTGTCTGTGCGCTTGTTACTGATCCCAAAGGCAGTGACCACAATAACAAAAGGAATACATCTAAGGAATAAAGAGTGGCAACACTTGTGTTTCTTTCTCAGATGCATCTCTTATTTCAATGAAACATCAATACAACTAACATTTATAATATGGCTTAAACAAATGATGTATATAGGGTCCTTTAACAATAAAAATCACGTCAGGAGGCTTTTTCCATATCAATGGGAGTAATATACATTTAGCATATATGCTCAATACAACTGTTATTTTAAAATAAAGATGAACAGCGTGAGCAGCTGAACCCTAGGAACCACCCTGCAAACTCCTGAGAGACTATTGGCTCCATGCAACCCGGCCCCACTGTGCTGTGGTTTAGCAAACTCCAAAGTTACACAAATCATTAAAACCCTACGATCATTTAACATGGAAGTATCATGAATCTTGAAGCTTTAATTCATGGTGAGTTTAACCAAATATAAACTTGCAGAATAGAGGGTGAGTCTTAGGGACAGAATGACAGGAACACTTGTGTTTCTTTCCTAGACGCATTTAAGGGGGACAAGATGTTGGTCCATCATAGACAACCAGGTCATGTGTCAAAGGTTCTGCCAACGATTTCCACTCTACTCCCCAATATCCACACAGGATTATACAACACAAATGCAAAATAATTATTTTTCTTAATTATTAGAGATTATTAGCAGAATTGATAACAACTACAGTAACAACTACTAAATATGGTGGCACATATATGGTTGCACCACATGCTACTTTAGAAACAGGACAAGGAGCTCAGTCTCCAAAGACTAACACAAAAAGTAACACCAGTGAGAAGTAATAATACTGCTTTAAACACCCAGACTCTCCTGTTTTTACAGTTATTATAGTTATTCTGATTTATTCTGTTCACCTGTTCAAACATGTGTAGGAACCAGTAATGTAATAACAGCCAATAAAGTAATACATTTTAAATGTAATAAGCTGATAATGTAATAACCAAAAAATAATGTAATAACTTGAGTGATCCAAAAATGTATTACATTATTGGCTGGGTAAGGGAAAAAACATGTCTTGTATAATAACTCCAGCCAATAATGTTGTACACATATATTATATGTTGAAGTTCTGTTGGAGTTTTGTAATACGTATATATAACTTTGCATCTTTTATTACTCAACCCTATAGTTTTATTTCTTTGGTGACATCAGTAATTCATACTTTTACTCTATTATTCTTAACATAATACTATTAAGTGTTGCTCACCTGATGTTTGTTGTTTATAGATGTTTAAAGTTGATGGTTTGATTCTGGATTGAGCAGACACTCCACACCAGCTCTTCTCTCTCTCTCTCTCTCTTGAGTTTCAGTTCTCGTGAAGCAGCAGAGTTTTGTCATGTTGCTCTGCCTCCAAAACACTTGCTCTTTTTTCACTGATAAGCTGCATGGACTGTGAACTATGAGCACATGAGCAGGTGAACAGCTGAGCCCAATAAAGAGGCCAGTCAATGCTATAACTTTAAATCATGGTAAAACTGAATTAAAAGTACATTTCTGGGTTAAACTGTGTCCAAAAAAACGAGTGAAAACCAGGACTAAACCAAGACTTTAAAGCTCAAAAAAGACTAGACCAGGACTTAATATGCTGATCCAGACCTAAAAAAAGAGACAAAAGCATGACAAAACCTGGACAGAAACGGGTCTAGGCCAGAACTAAAATGATACTAACCCTGGGCCTGTCATGATAACAAATTTAGAAGTATGATTTATTGTTGGAGAAAATATAGATGATAAATTAGTGAATCTTAAGTTATAACACTGACACAATAACCCTAAAGCAGGACTGTCCCACAAAAACTATTCTAAATGTGCAATACTGCTACTGGCTCTTCTCCTTTTCAGTGTTGTGTGTGCAGTTCCTCTGGTTTGGCACATATACAGATCATCTTAAAAAATCTAAAATATCATGAAAAAGTTTTATGTTTTTTGTTACTCATTTCAGAAAGTTAAACTCGTGTATTATCCAGACTCATGACATGACACATCCTCAGGGAATGTTGAGGACATCAGCTGAAAAGTATAAATCTGTCTTAACAACATTACAGCATTCATTGAAGTAAACGTATTTATCCCTGTTAGATATTTTATTCCAAAGATTAAAAAAAGATCACAGAGACTCCAGGACGTCCCCAAGAAGAAAAACACAAACTGTATATTTAGATTTTGCAGAGAGTGAATATGCAAAGGTTCCACATTGTGACATCATGAAGTGGTAGTTTTCAAGTGAGCAGCTCCTTTTACCTTTAGTTCAGTAGAGATTGGCAATTCCGGGGCTAAAATTATCCAAATGATTCTAGTGAAGGTGTGTGGAGTTTAAAACACAGTGGAGCACTTCCTGTTTAAGAGAAGAACTCAGAACTCAGGGTTTGTGTGTTAAATGTGTGCGAATGAAACAAAACACAACTGTAAGGGTGTGTCTGATGAGGAAACGTTATAACAAGGGATGGGCATTCGATAAAATTTTCTTAATCGATCGTTGGGAGAATTAACAATTGATTTTCGATTAATCATTAATGTTTTTATATTAAAATTATCATTATTATTATTACTGTTACTAATCTGCATAAAATAAACCATCATCACTCTAGAGCCACATCAGCCCGTTTGAGATTATAATGTGTTTAATGCAACTTTGACACATTTGTTTATGTTTTACAGAAACAAAACTTAAAACCACATGGCTCATTTGCATAAATTATAAGCTCTGAAAAAAGCAGCTCTTTCCTTGTGCGCTGATGCGGTTCTGCTTCTGTCGGACTACAGAACACGACTCAGTGGAATATGAGTGTTCTCTCTGTGACAGTCAGTGTTGGGGAGTAACAGATTATATGTTCCGGCGTTACGTACTCAGAGTACTAATTATGAGTAACTGTATTTAGTTACAGTTAGTGTTTCAGTGAGAGGTAATTGGATTACAGTTATTTTGTTGAAATAAATGGATTACACAACGGTATGTTCTTGTTTTCACATTTTGGGCTAAACCAGGACTAAACCAGGACTAAACCAGGACTAAACCAGGACTAAAACCAGGACTAAACTATGTTATTAGGTTCTTTTTCCAGACCAAGAGTTTGTTTTCATACCTGGAAAAAGAACCTAATAACATAAATTATCAGAAGACCAAATGAACGTCATCGGACAGGACTAAAACCAGGACTAAGCTAGTACTAAACCAGGTCTAAACCAGGACTAAATCAGGTCTAAACAATATGACACCTAACAGGAGCGTGGAGTAGCAGTGATCTCATATAAAAATCATTTCTCTATCAATAATATTTTTAATACGGTTAAGGAAAGACTGGACTTTTTATCGTCTTTTAGCAAACATAAACTTTGCTTCTCTACAGTAAACAAAAGTCTGTTCATGGAGTCTTGGGCTCAACAGACAATTTGAAGAGAACAAACATGAATTTTCAGGATGTTATGTAATGTTGTTACATTCATGTAGTTTTTAAAAAGCATGACAATACAAGTAATCCAAAGTATTCAGATTACATTACTCACCTTAAAGTAAATTAATGGATTACGTTACAAACTACATTTTGGGGTATGTAATCTGTAATCTGTAGGGGAATACATTTTAAAAGTCACCTTCCCAACACTGGTGACAGAGGGATGATGATGATGATGATGATGATGATGATGTCGCGTTGGAGATGGTTCATGTTTTCAGAGATCAGACGTGTGCAGGTTTAGTGCAGCTCTTTATTTAACATCATTTCACTCTATTTATTTGTGATGAAAAGACTGAAAAGTGTTTATCTTTTGGACACATGTGACTGAACTTTATGTTGCAGTAACCGGGATACTACATGCACCGTGACGAAACCGAGACTCAAAAAACCGAGACTCAAAAACCCCGATCGATACCCGGGACACTGATGTGCTGTAAACACAATCACTGAGTGAACAGTGTCTCCAAGGAGCCAGAGCCAAACGTGGGACTGTGAGGCACAACTCCAGTGTTTATGTCAGACGCAGCCTCGTCTCCTTTTGCTAAGCTACATTCAGTTTGTCGATTATAAATGAACATGATCGACAAAATTCTTAATGGTCAATTATCATCAGTCGACTAATCATGCCCATACCTAGTTATAATCAGAAAATATTGTCATTTGGCTTTTTTAAGAACAAAACTAAATTAAAACATTGTTTGATTTATTGCTCTTTATTTTTTCATTACAACTGGGGAACATTTTGATCAAGAAACTGATCATAACAGACATAACAGAATTTGGCTTTTTAATCTGAATTTTCCATTTTAAATATCCACACATACTAACTACTACATTAACCAAAACTAAATCACTTTTACATCAGAGAAAATACAATCATTTCTATTTTGAAAGGTGCACTATGTAACTTTTTGGTTGGGGGTCCTTCACCTGTTTGTTTCTGTGGAGATGTCATTGGTCTGCCTGGAATGTTCCACAGTGTGACATTAAACAGATCTACTTAATAGTTATTAAATTATAGGTGGTTTTATAACTCAAAATTATCTAGAAAAACTTGGTCTGGTTTGGTCTCCTTGGAGATAGAAAGGTTTAATGCCATACTGTGAAACATTCCAGACAAAGCAATAACATTCCATGGAGAAAAAAAAGTTACATAATGCACCTTTAATACATGGCATAAAAATAAAAAAAGAGTATTTTTGTTTTTTTTTTTACTTTAAAAAGAAACTAGAAAAGCACTCAGAGAGCGCAGACCTCCGCCAAGGACTACAGTCCCCCTCATATTAATTGTGTTTTCCATAAATATTTGTCTCGTATCTTTCAATTTGGAATATGAAAGAGGATCCCATTGTCCATCCCTGAGTCAAATTTCATGGGGTTTGGTCAATAATTAACCGAGATATTGAGAAACAAAATTTTTGGCCCCATTTACCACAATGTTAACTAAAATTTCAAAGTGATCCAGAATCCAGGATTTCTTCCGGATCACCCCCAAAATGAAATCAGTTCTTCCTTTTCACATTTCCAACAAATCCTGAAAATTTCATCAAAATCGGTCCATAACTTTTTGAGTTATGTTGCTAACAAACAAACAAACAGACAAACGCCGGCAAAAACATAACCTCCTTGGCGGAGGTAAAAAAAACTAACGTTTGACAGGAGTAAGTATCAGAGGAAGAGAGTTGCTGCCAGGACAGAGCAATGGAAGGATGTTCCCAGTGAAACGACAGTCAGTGATGGAGTGAATCAGAGTTGAAGTTTCTGCATCAAAATAAGCGACCAGGCCCTCGTCATAGTCCACAAACACCCCGACCTTCTCCACAGCAGACCACAGAGGATCTTTACTTCCTCCAGGAATTCTCCAGTATCCATTTTCAGGAGTGAAATTTGCAGATCTTTTTCTGTTTGCTGACTCCTTCACCACTCCTAAGACCCACTGAATCTTTCCTTTGACCTGAACTTCAAAATAAAACTTGCCAGAAGAAAACTTTTGTTTTCCTAAAACATACAGCTTATTTGAAAATCTCTCTGGGGCGTCTGGAAGATTTGTTGTTTGATTTGTGTGTTCAACCTGTTTATAATCCTGAGACACTTGTAATTTTGGATGAGCTGTATCTGGATCTAGCGTCACCTTGACTGCATGTTTCTTTGCTTCTTTCAAGAGACTTTCAAAAAGACTCTTTATTTCTGAAGTAAACCTTGTGTTTAACTCAGACACAGCCTTGAAGACTCTTCCCTTGTACGATGGAGCCCACACAGACTTCTCTGTCCAGTCCTGCAACTCTGGAGCAGGTTTGACTGAAGTGAAGGTTTGGACAAACTGAAAATGGTCGTCAGATCTCCAGGTCTCCTCCATCTCAGCTCGTCTCTGCTCCAGCTCAGAGATTTCAGACTCTAAACCTAATATTAACTCTGCTGCCTCTTTTTGCATTTCCTCATGTTTCTCTTCGATGTTCAGTTTAAACTGATCCAGACTTTGTTGAACACACTCCATCAGATCATTGAAGAACTTCACTCCCTCTTCCATTTCTCTGTCTGCGTTCTTCTGACTGAGCTGCACAGACTTCAGTATTTCCTGGACTTTGTCTCTTCTCTCCTGTATCTCCTGCTGCAGATGTTTCTGCTGCTCCTCACACTGCTCCTTCAGGAGGACTGTGTTGTGGTCTCTGTGCTCTGTGTAACTGCAGAGGACACAGATGAGCTCAGAGTGGTCTCTGCAGAACAGCTCCAGAGGTCGGGCGTGTTCAGCACAGACCCGCTCCTCCAGGTCGGTCACTGCGGCGATGAGCTGGTGCTTCTGTAGGCGGGGCACTGTGAGGTGGGGCTGCAGGTGGAGGGGGCAGTAGGACGTCTGACACATGAGGCAGGACTTCAGCGCCTGCAGCTTTGGATCAGGACACATGTCACACAGCACTCCTGACTCTGCTGCCGTCAGCTCCTCACCTCTTGGTTTGTTTTTAAACTCAGACAACATGTCTAACATGAAAGTGTTGGTCTTTAACACTGGTCTGCTGCTGAACTCCTCTTTACAGACGGGGCAGAAGTAGAGCTCAGAGGTGTCCCAGTGTTTGTTGATGCAGGTGCAGCAGAAGCTGTGACCACAGGGAGTGGTCACTGGACCACTGAAGACCTCCAGACAAGATGGAGCAGAGGAACTGGTCCTCAGACAGCACACTGCTTTCACTTCCCATCCTGCAGACACAGGAAACACATTTACATGTGATGAGTTTAGATCAATGATGAAGATCATGTTTAATCACCATGAAAGCTCTGTGTGTCACCAGGGAGGACACACTTTTGTATTTAACTGTACTTTTAAGGAGAGCTTCTCCCAGATTCTTGGGGTACTACTACTACTACTACTACTACTACTACTACTACTACTACTACTACGCTCAGTGCACTTCACTCAGTGAGCTACTATAGCCACAGCTGCCCTGGGGCAGACTGATGGAAGCAAGGCTGCTAATCTGCACCATCAGCCCATTCGACCAGCACATTCACAGACTACATTCATACTGGGCAGGGTGGGTGAAGTGTCTTGTCTAAGAACACAACAACAGAACTTGGTCTAAGCTGGAATCAAACCTCCAACCTGCGGGTTGAAGAGTGAGTGCTTGAACCACTGATGCCATAGTCCTTTACCGTGGAGGGAGTGAATTTAACACAGAGGAGAATCTCAGGACAGATTATTTCAATGTATCTCAGCAGTTTGACTGAGACACACCCAGGCTCTTCTGTTCACACAGTTATTATAGTTCTTCTCATTTATTCTGTTCACCAGTTCAAACATGTTTCTATCTGATGACAGTCACATTTTTATTAGTCATAGCTACGTAAAAAAAAAACACTTCTGTTTACTTTACTTTGCTTTTGCACCATTACTTAACCTTTAGTTTTGTTTCTTTGGTGATATTAGTAATTAAGTGTTACTCACCTGCTGTTTGTTGTTTATAGATGTTTAAAGTTGATGGTTTGATTCTGGTTTGAGCAGACACTCCACACCCGCTCCTCTCTCTCTCTCTCTCTCTGTCTCTCGCTCTTGAGTTCTGTTTCCTGTGCAGCAGCAGAGTTTTGTCATGTTGCTCCGCCTCCAAAACACTTCCTGATTTTTCACTGATAAGCTGCACTGGACTGTGAACTATGAGCGCGTGAACAGCTGAGCCCAATAAAGAGACCAGTCGATGCTATAACCTGAACTCATGGTAAAACTGAATTAGATGTACAGTTCTGGGTTAAACTGTGTCAAAAATGAGTGTAAACCAGGACTTTAAAGCTCAAAAAAGACTAAACCAGGACTTAATAGGCTGATCCAGAGCTAAAAAAAGACAAAATCATGACTAAATAGACACTTAATCCAATGACAAAACCTGGACAGAATCAGGTCTAGGCCAGAACTAAAAATGATACAAACCCTGAGCCTGTCATGATAACAAATTTGAAAGTACGATTTATTGCTGAAGAAAATACAGACGATAAATAATAATAGTGAAGCTCAGTTATAACACTGACACAATAAACCTAAAACAGGACTGTCCACAAGAACTATTCTAAATGTACAATAAGGTTAAAAAACACAAACAGTAATAAGGAAATAGCAGAATGAAATTAGTTTGTTTCTGTAATGAGTCAGAGAAGTTATTTATTCAAACCTCTACAGCTCAAATCTTACAGCAGTACAGAAATATAACAAACGGTTCCCCAAAAGTACCAAGAAAAAGTACTTACGATAAATACTGACCCCCAAAAATCACTGTTCCAACCATAAACACTTCCAGCTCCATCAATTCTGGCTCCAGTTCACTTTCAACTGAAAATCCGTCATCACTTTCTCTGTAACTTTAGCTGTCGGGCTTGTTATTTTGGTCTTAAAATGTTCATATTAACCTTCTCTACATGATTCTTGTGTTTTTATTTATCTACTTTGTCCTTGAATCAGGATATGAACATTAATAACAGACCAGTGAGGGATATTTTTAACAAGTTTGACTGACAGTGGCCACATTTACTTGATGTTTTTTTAATTCCAAATTAATTGCTCTGAAGTAAATAGTTCAGAAATAAAATATTCTCCTTTGAGTTTACATGGAAATAATAATTCCTGAATTGAGGTTTAACATGGAAAACACGTTAAATCACCTTTGATCAGCGTCTGGGGGTGGGGAAGGGTTCCGATTGGACAGAGACACTGACGTATTTACAACGACAGGAAGAAAACACACACTTCAGCAATAATAATAAAGATAATAATACATAACACTTGGATTGCGCTTTTCAAGATACATAAAGACGCTTTACATGAGAAGACAAACAACGACAAACAAGAGAAAACGAGAGTTAATGAAAGTTTTTTTTAAAGAGATGAGTTTTCAGGGCTTTTTTTTTTAAACATGGGGAGTGTGGATGAGTCTCTGATGTGTTTGGGCAGGGAGTTCCAGAGGGTGGGGGCAGCAGCGGAGAACACCCAGTCACCCCAGGTCTTATGTTTAGTTCTGGTGGGGGGGTATACAGGAGGTTGGCGTCAGCTGATCGGAGGGCACGGGTGGGGGTGTGGTGGTGGTGGAGGAGGAGCTCAGAGAGGCAGGCGGGGGCCAGGTTGTGGAGGGACTTGAGCTGGATGTGCTGGGGGACGGGGAGCCAGTGGAGATCTCTGAGGACAGGGGTGAGGTGTTCACGGGAGGAGGTGCGGGTGAGGAGGCGGGCAGCAGAGTTCTGCATGTACTGGAGTCTGGAGGGGGAATCATAGAGCAGCTATTACAGTAGTCGAGGCGGGAGGTGACAAAAGCGTCATCTCGGTTTGTCGTGACGTCACGGACACAAACATGATCCAAACTTTTTTCGCAGTCGTTCCAATGATAATGAAGTAGCAGCTGGAGAATTCTCTCATCACGCTTTACGTCTGTCGGCTGAGGAGGAGAAGGGAGGAAGAAGACAAACTGAGTCAACGGCTGCTCTACCTCAGCCCACTCCCGCATTTTTATGTTTTCTACCATCCACTGTTTTCATTATTTGTAGTTCTTCCAGCGCACTTATTAAAAAAACATTTTTGGCTCAAGACCAACATTTGTTCCGGGCAGCCATCTTACAGTGCGTCATCGTATCAGAAGGGCAACCCAACAAGCAGAATTAATTCCGAATAATCATTTTCATTAGGAAAGTGTTTACATCATGGGTGTCAAACATACGGCCCGGGGGCTGGATCCGGCCCTCCAAGACCTTTAATCTGGCCCTCGGCTGATTTTCTACTAAAATATTTTAATTATATTTTCTATTCAAATATTGGTAATTTCCTGCAGTGCTTAACATATCAGCGTCTCCAGCGTCTCTGTACGTGGCCCCTCCCACCAGAGCAGCACAAATGAAAGACTTGTCTCTTTCCAAACGCTCTTAAAGGACGATCGTTTTGACTGTTGACCGTGACACCCTCATCAACAAAATGTCAAAAATGAGAAAAGTGGAGCTGAGTGCAGGATTTTACAAGAAAAATGGACACAAATTCAAGTTAAAACATTGTGTTGAAATTGCATTTATTTTAAGTTTCAGGTTGTTGATAATATAATAATATTTTGTAAAAGAAAGAGTTCATCTATTAAAGATTTCTGTAATAGATTTGTGTTTCTCTGCACAAATACTTGAACTTATTGTTATTTTTGGGGTTTATATGCCATGAGTTTTCTAATCCGGCCCCTTTGGGAAGTGGTTGGATATGGCCCCTGGACCAAAATGAGTTTGACACCCCTGGTTTACATTGTCTTTTTTAAAGTGGGGAATTTATTTTTATTCAGAATTCAATTATTTTTATTCAGAAGCTCTCGTGTAAACGTGGCAAGTGCTGCTAAGTGGGAAGGGGTGTTACCTCTTCAACAGCCTCGCTCCAGATTGGCTCTTCAGTTGCTATGATACTCATGCTTCCAAATATGGAATGGCTCCAAATCTGTCCTATAAGTGCTAGCCTCAACAAGCTTCCTTTGACTGGAGCTGAAATAACCTGTTCTCTGTTCTGTAAATAAAACTACAGACACCGTATAGGCTCGTACAAATACTGTAGGCTCTCACAGGTTCCTAATACTATTAATATAACACAGTATACACAGTATGTATGGAAACATGTAAAAGTATTTTATGACTGATTTCTGAGCAACAAAAATATACTAAATATAGACAGGTGTAAGTATCAGAGGAGCAGAGTTGCTTTTGTTACAGTTGCCAGGACTGAACATTGGAAGGATGCTCCCAGTGAAACGACAGTCAGTGATGGAGCGAATCAGAGCTGAAGTTTCTGCATCAAAAAAACAGATCAGACCCTCGTCATAGTCCACAACACCCCGACCTTCTCCACAGCAGACCACAGAGGATCTTTACATCCTCCATGGATTTTCCAGTATCCATTGTCAGGAGTTAAGTTCTCAGATCTCAATTTCCTATCTGCTGTCTCCTCTGTCATTCCTAAGTGCCACTTAGTCTTTTCTTTGACCTGAACTTCAAAATAAAACCTGCCTGAAGCAAACTTTTGTTTACCCAAAACATTAAACATTTTTGAAAATCTTTCAGAGGTGTCTGGAAGATCATTTTTTTGCTTCATGCATAGAACCTGTTTATAATCGTGAGACAGTTGTAAGTTTGGATGAGCTGTATCTGGATCTAGAGTCACCTCGACTGCATGTTGCTTTGCCTCTTTCAGGTGAGTCTCAAAATGTGTATTTATCTCTGTATTTAGCCTGTTTTTTAACTTAGATACAGCGATGGTGACTCTGCCCTTGTACAATGGAACCCTCACAAACTTCTCTGTCCAGTCCTGCAGCTCTGGAGCAGGTTTGGCTGAAGTGAAAAATTGAACAAAATCAAAATGGTCAGCAGATTTCAAAGGCTCCTCTATCTCAGCTTGTCTCTGCTCCAGCTCAGAGATTTCAGACACCAAACCCAATATTAACTCATCTGCCTCTGTCTTTATTTCCTCATGTTTCTCTTCGATGTTCAGTTTAAACTGATCCAGACTTTGTTGAACACACTCCATCAGATCATTGAAGAACTTCACTCCCTCTTCCATTTCTCTGTCTGCGTTCTTCTGACTGAGCTGCACAGACTTCAGTATTTCCTGGACTTTGTCTCTTCTCTCCTGTATCTCCTGCTGCAGATGTTTCTGCTGCTCCTCACACTGCTCCTTCAGGAGGACTGTGTTGTGGTCTCTGTGCTCTGTGTAACTGCAGAGGACACAGATGAGCTCAGAGTGGTCTCTGCAGAACAGCTCCAGAGGTCGGGCGTGTTCAGCACAGACCCGCTCCTCCAGGTCGGTCGCCGCGGCGATGAGCTGGTGCTTCTGTAGGCGGGGCACTGTGAGGTGGGGCTGCAGGTGGAGGGGGCAGTAGGACGTCTGACACATGAGGCAGGACTTCAGCGCCTGCAGCTTTGGATCAGGACACATGTCACACAGCACTCCTGACTCTGCTGCCGTCAGCTCTTCACCTCTTGGTTTGTTTTTAAACTCAGACAACATGTCTAACATGAAAGTGTTGGTCTTTAACACTGGTCTGCTGCTGAACTCCTCTTTACAGACGGGGCAGAAGTAGAGCTCAGAGGTGTCCCAGTGTTTGTTGATGCAGGTGCAGCAGAAGCTGTGACCACAGGGAGTGGTCACTGGACCACTGAAGACCTCCAGACAGATGGAGCAGAGGAACTGGTCCTGAGACAGCACACAGCTCACACTCGCCATCCTGCAGACACACAGGAAACACATTTACATGTGATGAGTCTAGATCAACAACCACCTTTAGTGACCACGGAGCTCAGTGTGTTACAGGAAGGAAACTAAACAGACTTTGAGACTCTTAAGTTTGGCTGAACCTTTTGTCTTTATCTGTACTTTTAAGGAGAGCTTCTCCTAGATTCTTGGGTTCTCCACCTTCATCATCCATGATACAGTTTGCTTTATTTACCACTCTATCTACTTTCCTACTCTCACCTCTTCATGAGCTTTTGGTAATGACTGAAAGGACAAGATGGTGGATACAGACGGTCAAAATGAGTTTCCTTGCAGGTGTCTGGGCACTACTTTAGAAACAGAACGAGGAGCTCAGTCTCCAAAGAGTAACACAAAAGGAAACACCAGTGAGAATTATAAAAAATAATGCTTTAAACTTGTAATGCACTTTACATCCTTGTCAAAGTCTCAGTGCACTTCACTGTAGTCACTGTTCACTCAGTGAGCCACTATAGCCACAGCTGCCCTGAGGCAGACTGATGGAAGTAAGGCTAACAATCTGCATCATCAACCCATCCAACTACCACATTTACAGACTACATCCATTCAAGTGAACTTGGCACAGAGGAGAATCTCAGGACAGATTATTTCAGTGTAGCTCAGCCAGTTTGACTGAGACACACCCAGGCTCTTCTGTTCACACAGTTATTATAGTTCTTCTCATTTATTCTGTTCACCAGTTCAAACATGTTTCTATTTGATGAGAGTTACATTTGTATTACAGTCATAGCTACGTTAAAAAAAAATAAATAAATAAAAAAACGTTACTTTTGAATTTTTATTACTTAACCCTTTAGTTTTGTTTCTTTGGTGATATTTATACTCTATTATTCTTAGCATAATACTCTAATATAATTGTTACTCACCTGCTGTTTGTTGCTTATAGATGTTTATAGTTGATGGTTTGATTCTGGTTTGAGCAGACACTCCACACCCGCTCCTCTCTCTCTCTCTCTCTCTCTTGAGTTCTGTTTCCTGTGAAGCAGCAGAGTTTTGAAATGTTGCTCCGCCTCCAAAACACTTGCTGGTTTTTCAGTGGTGTGCCTGAAGTGTGCCTCAATCCTATAACCTGAAATCATTGGTAAAACGGAATTAGATGTACAACCAAGACTTTAAAGCTCAAAAAAGACTAAACCAGGACTTAATAGGCTGACCCAAAAGCCCCAAAAAGACCCAAAAGCATGACTAAATAGAGGCTTAATCCAGTGACAGAACCGGGTCTAGGCCAGAACTAAAATGACTCTAACCTGACGCTAATCAACTGGCACTAAATCTACAGGGTTTGTGTGTTAAACATGTGTGAATGAAACAAAACACAACTCCAGGTCTGTTTGTGATGAGGAAACATTAGAACACAGATCAGAAAATACTATAATATGAGCCTTTTAACTAATGAAGTGAGTAGCCTAACATCACTGTTGGGCAAGTTATTTTAAAACTATAATGTGTTATTTATGACTTGTTACTGTCATTTCAAAGTAATTCGTTACATTACAATATTACTGTGTTTAAAAAGACATTACACAACTATTGCAGCACTTTTAAGTTACTCTCACCAAAATAACTGAGCGAAGATGCTGAACTTTTGTGCTGTATATGGACCGAACCAGGACTGAACCAGGTCTAAACCAGGACTAAACCAGGACTAAACCACGTCTAAACCATGTCTAAACCAGGACTAAACCAGGATTAAACCAGGACTAAATCAGGACTAAACCAGAACTGAACCAGGACTAAACCAGGACTGAACCACGTCTAAACCAGGACTAAACCAGGACTGAATCAGGACTAAGCTAGGTCTAAACCAGGACTGAACCGAGGGCTAAACCAGGACTAAACCACGTCTAAACCAGAGGTGAACCAGGACTAAACCAGGACTGAATCAGGACTAAACCAGGACTAAACCAGGACTACCCAGAACTAAACCAGAGCTGAACCAGGACTAAACCAGGACTGAACCAGGACTGAATCAGGACTAAACCAGGACTAAACCAGGTCTAAACTGGGACTAAACCAGGACTGAATCAGGTCTAAACCAGGACTACACCAGGACCAAACCAGGACTAATCTTGGACTAGAACTTGGAAGCGCTTTGCAGACAGGGTTCTGCGTGGAGTTCTGCGTCGGTCCTTTCGCCCGCGGTCACTTGACGGTCTACGTGGCTGCGTCTCCATCGTTTCTCCGTGCCGGTGATTTTAGCGAATTTGTATGAAGAAAAACCCACCACTTCAATCCAGGTTAAAAAAACATTGTAACGCACGATACTGACATTTGTACTGAGTAAAATATATATATTTTTTTCCCTGTAATACCATAACATTACTGCGTTACAGCAAAAAGCAACGCATTACAGTAATTTGTTACTTTTATAACACGTTACTCCCAACACTGTCTAACATACACTATATGCACTTTAAACCCCTACAGTAACTCCTCCACACTTGTGCTTATATTTGCGGTCATCCTCTAAACTCCTAATGGTCCTACTTCAATGTGGAAACCATTTAGTCTCCTACACCACTTTGTGCGTTACACCACCTCCATCTTAGCAGCTCTACACATTTAAATATATTCTCAGTGTACATTTCACGGCTAGTGTATCTGCAGTAAGTGTCCTTGGACCTTGTGTTTATGTAAATATCTGGGAATGGTTTTAGCCGGCTGAGAGGTGACACTAAATGTGTACATAGTGATTATACTGTGGGTTTTTCAGAGCTGTGAGTGTCTTTGAAAAGCTGTTAAACAAAGGCGAAATCCATTATCCGTGTCAAATGTCTCTTCGGTCTAATGTGAGTGGGCTCAAACTGAAAACACTTCCACCTTGTGATGTCATGTGGTAATACAGGAAGTGCCCCACTGTGTTTTTAATCTTCATACACCTTCAGTAGAATCATTTGGGTAATTTCAGTCCTTGCCAATATACTGAACACAAGGTAAAAAGGAGCTGTTGACTTGAAAAGTACAGTTTTGGAAGAATATTTGACTTACACTGCTGTTGATCTGGCTCTGAATCCTGTTTTCTCTTTGGTCTAATCCACACTGTAGTCACACTTCTGTGCTAAAAGTCAGATTTCATCATTTAACGGGGTAATAAAAAGTAACGTAATAAAAACAAAAGTAATAAAAAGCATGTTTGCTGTCGATAGCAGCAGATCCAAAAGTTGTTTACAAAGGATAGCACTTCCTTTTCTGTGTGCGCACAACGTGAGTCTGACCAATCAGAGGGAGAGGGGCGGGTCTTAGAGTCGAGACCTGCAGTGTTATTGGCTGAGAGGCAGGTCTTAGAGCTGCTGCAAAACACAGACATTTCAGAGCAGAGTGACGTCCTCTCAAACTTTTTTTAAAGGGTATAGACCCCTGGTCCTGGTTCAGCCCTTTTTGTCCTATTTTAAACCTGTTTTAGTCTTGGTTCAGTCCTGATTTAATCCTGGTTTAGCCCTAGTTTAGTCCTGGTTTGCACCTGTTTTAGACCTGTTTTTGTCCTGGTTTAGTCTGGGTTTAGTCCTGTTTCAGTCCTGGTTTAGCCCTGGTGTAGACTTAGTTTAGTCATGGTTCAGTCATGATTTAGTCCTGGTTCAGTCCTGGTTCAATCCTGGTTTAGGCCTAGTTTTGTTCGGGTTTAGTCCTGTTTCAGTCGTGGTTTAGTTCTGGTTTAGTCCTGTTTCAACCCTGGTTTAGACCTGGTTCAGTCCTGATTTAATCCTGGTTTAGCCCTAGTTTAGTCCTGGTTTGCACCTGTTTTAGACCTGTTTTAGACCTGGTTTAGTGCTGGTTTAGCCCTGGTTTAGTCCCGGTTTAGACCCAGTTTTGTCCAGGTTTAGTCTGGGTTTAGTTCTCTTTCAGTCCTGGTTTAGCCCTGGTTTAGACTTGGTTTAGTCCTGGTTCAATCCTGGTTTAGGCCTAGTTTTGTTCGGGTTTAGTCCTGTTTCAGTCGTGGTTTAGTTCTGGTTTAGTCCCGTTTCAGTCCTGTTTCAACCCTGGTTTAGTCCTGGTTCAGTCCTGATTTAGTCATGGTTTAGACTTGTATTATTCTTGGATTAATCTAGGTTCAGTCCTGGTTTAGACCTGGTTCTGTCGTGGTTTAGACCTGGTTTAGACTTCGTTCAGTCCTGGTTTATTCCTGGTTTAGACTTGGTTTAGTCCTGGTTTAATCCTGGTTCAGTCGTACTTTAGTCCTCGTTTAATCCTGTTTAAATCCTGTTTCAGTCCTGGTTCAGTCCTGGTTCAGTCCTGGTTCAGTCTTGGTTTAGCCTGATTACTCTTTGTTTGTTTCAGGTATTCAGTTCTCCACAACGGGACCCACTCGGAGCAGGACCGGGGTCAGACCGACACCGAGTCCCACGAGTCCTGTCTGTGATGGGGCCTCCCTCTGAACACCGCCCCCCGCTGGAGCCCGGCGGCAGTGCGGGAGGACAGCCACAAGAGCGACAGAACCAAGGAGAAGGAGCACGTCCAAAAGAGAGGGGCCAAGACACTGCAGAGTTTGCAGATTTTCACAGTGCAGTCAGTTATGCTACTAAAGACAAACTTTACTTCAGTGATTATGATGAATTTGATTTGAGTTCGGGGCAAAATGATAAAATTTGGCTGCCTTTTCATGCCAAAATCAAGATTTACACACCTATCTTTACATTACGATGAAAAGGACACAATGGAGTTGGGACTTTTCACTTCTGTTTTGTATCACTAAGCAGATTTTGGTCGCCTAAAACGAACGAGCCCTCCACCAGAAAAGTTACGTTAAGTGCACAAACAGGGTTCCCACTCTTTTTCACTGACAACATTTCAAAACTTTTCTATGCCTCTTTTTCAAGACCTAAAGTGAATTTTCCATGACTTCCCAGCACCTACATGTGTTGAACTGATCAGACTTTTAGGGCTAAATATGAAATTTTAACCCTTTCCACTCCCCTTATGGTTTGGGATTATAGTTTTTTAAACATTCAAAATCCTGTCAGTGCATTTATTGTCGTCTCTTTTAAACAAAAGGCGCAGACGTTCAGAAATAATCACAACAGCCTCACGAGAACTTAACAGAACGCTGGAGTTACGTGAAAGACCTACTAAAATTCTGTGACTTTTCCAAAACCTTCATTGAATTTACAAAATTCAGTGACCTTTCCCAGGCATTCCTGTCGGACATTTTCAGTTTCCGTGACTTTTCCAGAATTTCCATGACTGTGGGAGCCCTGCGCAAATTGTGAAGCACGAGGTACCGCTCGAGAGAAATAACACAAATGAAACTGAGATTGAAAATTCTTCATACTAGACACACAAGGCAGGATATAAACTACAATAAACTACACTTAAACATACTGTATAAGTTTTTTATTCTACCCTCTACAGCTCTAATCCTACGTTATTACACCCAAAATGGCCAAAATCTCACTACTATTGCAAAGAAAAAGAAGTCCCCGTGATAAAATACATAGTTCAGCTTTCATATACTGAACGTTAAGTCAATATAGTCATTATTCAGTCATTTAAAGCTGCAGTATGTAACTTTCTGGAGGTGGAAAAGTCACCTGCAGGATTTTACGGAAATAGAAAGTTAAAGCCATACTTCGACACATTCTCCACGAAGTTAGGCCAGTTTTATATCAGGTTAAGTTTAGAGCCAAAGGAACAACATTTAAACGGAGATTAGCAGGTGCGGCTTCTCCTCCGGGCCGAGTGAGAGTCGGGTTTGTGGAGACGCGAGCCCGCTCCCAGTAAGGACGCATGTTTTTAGTGCAATAAACACAACCAAAATAATAATAATAATAATAAGGGAAATACATGCTTTTATTTGAGTCTGGTTTTGGGGCTGAAAGTTGCATACTGTGGCTTTAAAGATCACTGCGCAAATGGGAAATCTGCAAACTCTGTGTCGGATCTGGTCACGCCTGATGCCACTGGACCGTGAAGAACCAGGAGCATCGTGACTTCATCAGTGTCCAACTCTAGGCTGTGTTCACCTGCTGTAGAATCCCTGTAGGGCTGTTAAGTACGACGTCACTTCCGGGTCCATCAGCTGATTGAAAACAATGAACACAGTTTTGTTTTGTTTTTCATTCCCTTTTTTTTTTTGTGATGTTTAAAGCAATAAGGTTAAAATCATGGATCTGTGATTATAACAATAACAGAAAGTGTATAATATATAAAAGGAGGCTGAGGTACGCAGATAGAAAGATTTAACAGTGACCATCAGTTAGTGAGATCTACACACCTATGTTATGATAAGATTATTACAGCATTAGTTACATATTTGATATAGGCATTTAAACATGCACTTTTCACAGGTAATGTCTCTGGTTCAGTGACGGGGAGGGACAGTGGAGGCAGGTGAGCCAGTGCCTCTCCGGTCCTTTTGGGAATAAAGAACAGTTCAGTGTCAATAAAAACAGATAACTACTTTATATATTTTATATATAATATTATGGTCTGTGGTGAGTTGTGTGGTTTAAAATAGTGAAATGTCTCAGTACATGTGGATAGAATGCAAAGATACGAGGTGAGGGGGCGTGTCTCCCTGTGGTAATGTGTGTCTGTGAAGGGTATGTCTGTGTGAGGGGGGCGTGTCTCTGTGAGGGGGCGTGTCTTTGTGAGGGTCATGTCTGTGAGGGGGCGTGTCTTTCTGAGGGTCATGTCTGTGAGGGGGCGTGTCTTTGTCAGGGGGCATGTCTCTGTGAGGGGGCGTGTCTTTGTGAGGGGGCGTGTCTCTGAGGGGAGCGTGTCTCTGAGGGTCATGTCTGTGAGGGGGCGTGTCTTTGTGAGGGGGCGTGTCTCTGAGGGTCATGTCTGTGAGGGGGCGTGTCTCTGTGAGGGGGCGTGTCTCTGAGGGGGGCGTGTCTGTGGGTGCACTTTTACTACAGAAATATGGACTAATTTTAAACCAGATAGTGTCAAATTTCACTACACAGTTTAAACTGAGCCTTTTAACAACTAAAGGAATAAGGGGCATAGAACACAGAAACTACAGTCCTAGAGTGAAGATTCTGTTCACAAAATGGGCAAGAAGATTATTTAACCAATTCTACAAATGGCATTATAGAATTTAGCCCATGTCTAAAACGGATGATCTGAGTTCAAGGCCTTGCTCTGAAATTTACTTTTTTTCTTTTTTCCCTTTTTGTGTATAAACAAAATAATGACTTAAAGCTCAATGTTTTCATGAGTAAAGGTGATTCTTATATGTTTGTAAAGGAGACAGAAGTAGTTTAGTGCCCATTTCTGAGCCTACTACACTTTGCCTCACCATCTTAAACTTCACGTCACTGTTTGATGAATAAAGAACAAAAACAAAGCTAGAAATCAGATTTGTAGTTTCTGGTTGGACCCGGAAGTGACATCATCACGTAACAATTCTGGAGACGGGTCAGAACTCTATGGAGGAATCTGCTGTTTAACTGTCAGATTACAGATTTGTTGATCTTTAATTACTGGGCCTATCCACATGAAACAAAAACAGGCACAAATTTCTACACCTTCTGATTGTTGGACTTGAAACCATAAGATTAATATGGCAAGTTTGTGGAGCCAATCCCAAACAAATAATGAGAAAGTTCAAAATTTATGGAGCGAAAGTTTGGAGATTTCTTTCAAAAACAGCACATCTCTATAGAGTTATATCGACCTCTCCATCATTATCTAATTCTGAGTGAACACAGCCTAGTCAAATGGAACCAGCCACCAACTCATCTAGTCTTTTTGAGCAAAACATTTTCCTTTTTCTCGTTTTTTTTGGCTGCTCTGGACCCTTCTCTGCCTGTTCCCGGGGTGTGGACATCTTGTGGAGATCTTCTGATATTGTTCGCAAACAGGATTGACTATGAACAATGTTGGTGAAAATGAAGTTCTTTGCCAAAGCTCTTATAACATTGACCCCTACCCCTGGAAATCGTACGCAGGTCCCTGTATCTTTTGCTCCCCCCGTGACGAGATGAGAACAAATATTTTTATATGTTGAGTATTACTGACTTCATGAATTGTCCATTTCCAAAACGTGAAGGTTGGGGTTTGAAATGAATCGAGAAATATTGCTGTCTCTCTTATCCCAAAGTGTACATCAGCAATGAGTCTCCAAAACACAAAAAAATACTAAAAACTAAAAAGACAGAAGTTTAGATTCTATGTAAAAACGACTTTGTATTTCAACAAGTGAGATGTAACAAGATTTAGTGCACATTTTAAAACAAAACAAAAAAGAAAAGTACTGCTAAAACTACTGTATTTTTGGGACTATAAGGCGCACTTGAAATCCTTTAATTTTCTCAATTTAATAGTCTCATGGACTAAACAAGAATCGAAAGAGAACTAAATCCAGATTAACCAAGTCTAAATCAGGACTAAACAGGTAGAACTAAACCAGGTCTAAACTATGGCCTAAACCAGGCATGTCCAAACTATGGCCCGGGGGCCAAATGCGGCCCTCAGACACATTTTTCTTGGCCCTCATACTTCGAGGTGAATTTGCCCAAATTACTTTGCATCAATTAAAAAATATTTTTTTACTGCAAGGTTTTTGAAAATCTACCTTGATAAAGCCGATATTTAATATTTAGTGTGTGGTTTTAAGGATCTTAGCATGAATAAAGTCTGATGGCTCATTGTAACGTGTTAAAAATGCACACATTTCAATAATTCCCTGTACTGAGCACCAGTCTACGGCCCTCGATCGGCCCTCTGCTTCATCTGTGTTTAAATATGTGGCTCTTGATGAAAAAAGTTTGGACACCCCTGGCCTAAACCAAGGCTAAACCAACGTTAAACCAAGGACTAAGTCATAACTAAACCAAGCTTAAAACCAGGACTAAACCAGGACCAAACCAAGGTCTAAACCATGGACTAAACCCAGACTAAACCAGGACTACAGCAGGGACTAAACCAAGGACTATAAAATGAAAATTAAATGAACTAGGACTACCGGGAGTAAACCAGAACTGAACAAAGACTAGACCAGGACTAAACCAAGTCTAAACCAGGTCTCAACCAAGAGGACTAAACCAGAGACTTGACCAGGTCTAAACTATGGGCCAAACCAAGGTTAAACAAAGTACTACTGCTGTATTTTTGGGACTATAAGGCGCACTTGAAATCCTTTAATTTTCTCAAAAATATAGTTCGGTGCGCCTTATGTATTCATTCTGGTTGTGCTTACTGACTGACATTTTGACAGATTTTGAGCGCCATGTAGCACATAAAATCGGTTTGAGATTTTATGTGGTACACGGTGCTCAAAAATCTGTCAAAATGTTTTAGTATGACTTTGGTCAGAGCTTATAGTTTATGCAAATGAGCCATGTGGTTTTAAGTTTAGTTTCTGTAAATCGTAAACAAATGTGTGCAAAACTGGATTAAACACATTATAACTCAGTGTATATTTGAGTCATCCT